CTACTGTCTCCGAAATATTCACTGCCAACCTCTGGAGCCTATACTCAAGGACGACCGTCATGAATTTGTAACAGAACTGGCACTCTCGATGGAAGGAAAAGCATAAGAAATTGCCACAGCTATAGAAAAAAATCTCTCTTAATGACTGATGATGGTGTACAATCTCGTTTTGGATCAGATTGGCATGTATAAATTGCGTCTTTGACAGTAGCCATGTTTTCATTTATCATGCAAGCAAGATACGCTCGCACGCGTTTCGAGCTCTGAGGTAAGTCATCACATCTAGAGTCGATTCCAAAATAAGAGGCACCATAGACAACATCGTCCTCCTAGAAACTTTTATTAGAGAGGTTTTTATTAAAAAAGAATATGCAATAGCCATTTTCTTTGATTTAGAAAAGACATATGAGACAACATGGCGACGGGGAATAATGAATGACTTTTACAATCTTAGATTAAAGGGCAGATTGTACAATTTGATCAATGACTTTTTGTCTGATAGAAGTTTCAAATCCAGGTTGGATGAACATTCTCAGACTTAAAAATCCAAGAATGAGTTCCACAGTGTTGCATCTTGTCACACTTTTTAATATAAAAATTAACAACATTGTTAATTGTTTGAATCAAGGTGTCGATGGTTCATTATACATAGATGACCTTCTGATCTGCTACAGATCAAAAATATGCATATGGCAGAACGGCAACTGCAAATGTGCCGAGATAAATTAGACCAATGGACTATTGAAAATGGTTTCAATTTCTCCCCAACCAAAACAAAGTGTACCCATTTCTGCAATCAGAAAAAATGCACAATGATCCAACTCTTAAACCTGAAGGAACTGAAATAGAAATGACTGATCAACATAAATTTCTGGGAATATTCTTTGATAAAAAACTTACATTCATATCCCACTTAAAATAAATAAAACCAAAATGCTTCAAAGTATTACAATTACTATGGCTTGTGGCTAACACCAACTGGGGAGCAGCTTGCATATCACTCTTAAAGTTATATAGAATTCTAATAAGATCTAAACTGGACTACAGATGTTTCATATATGGTTTGAGCCGGAAATCCTATCTAAAAACCCTTGATCCCATACACCATTCAGGACTAGCTCTGGGTACCTTCAAAACATCACTCATCGAAAGTTTATATGCTGAAATATATAAGACACTGTTAAAACGGAGATGTGAAAAACAGGCATTACAATATTATCTAAAACTCAAATCCTGCCCCTCTAATCCTGCCTATCATTGTACCTTCAGCCCTAAATACAATTTTTTTTTTTTTTGATAAAAAAGAAAATGCTATCAAACCTTTTGGCCTTTACATGAAAAATCTCATCAGCGAAGCACAAATAAATCCAACCCTAATTCTTAAATCCACCAACTCAAAAAAATCTACCCTGATTAATGAAGTACCCTATGATTTTGCTAAACCTTACTAAATACTCTAAAATTAATTCTAACTCCAATTACATGGAAGAAATCCAAAATGTTCTACAAGCTCACCCAAATCATAAGCATATATACACTGTTGGCTCTAAAATGTTGGACAGAGTGGGGTGCTCTGCTATCCTTAACAACATAACAATGCAGAAAAGATTGCTTGACAATGCCTCAATTTTCAGTGCAGAAGCCTCAGCCATACACTTGGCTTTAGATATTATAGAATTTAGTGGGTCAGAAAGATTCTTCTTCTCAGATTCACTATCTGTACTCACAGCTCTGAAGAATAAAAACATGAAAAATCCCTTGATAAATAAATTATTAAATAGGTTTGACTCTATTTATAAGGAAATGGAAAAGCTGACAAAATGGCAGAGGAATCACTGAACATTGGCCTCTCTAAAGTAATGTTGCCACACACCAACTTCCAACCCAGCATAAACAGGAGAATTTAAAGAAAAATGGCAGCAATAAATTGTAAGCAATAAATTCTTCAACATCCAATCTAGCATGTCAAGTTCCAGAAAGATAAGGAGAGAGGAGGTGGTTCTAACCAGACTCTGTATTGCACTCACATACATAACCCATCAACATCTACTAAAAAATGAGAAACCGTCAATATGTGTTCCATGCCAGGACCATATACAGTCAAACACATTCTACTAAATTGCCGTAACCTCCAGCAAACTCGAATCAAACTCTACAAATTAGATAACTTAAATTTGAAAATATCAATCCAAGTAACATCATAAATTTCATTAACGAAATTGGGCTCTACAGGAAAATATAAAAAAAATAAAAAAACACTTTACTAAATCTGCTTACTTAATGGTTTTGTAACATATTTTGGAAGGAAAAATTATTTCCATCAATACATTGTTGAAGAAAACGATCACCAACAATACATTTGACTCTTTATAAAATATGTCAATGAAAACTAATCTACAAAATGATTTCTTATAAAGAAGACATAATCTATTCATATGAACCTATCAGAAAAATCTTGTCAGCATTAAATAACCCTTCCAGATTGATATGCCATTAAAATAAATATATCAAATTTCTCATTCTAGCCCATTTTTATCCATAAATTTTTATTATAAAACAATATTGATTTTCTGCAATGTTTTATTATCTGTATGTCATCATCAGAAATATTTATTGTTTCTAGCTAAATCTAGTGTCTCATTTAATAAAATTCTCTTTAATAGAAGGTAAAAAATGCTTAATACCAAATTGTATAAAAGTAGTTTTTCTTTTTTCAAATAGTGTTAAACCAATTTATTGTTGCTTTCATGTTTTTCTACTGTTTAGCATACTTTAAACTTATTTTTTTCAATACATATTTGCATATTTTCTCTGTTACTTTTAATGTTATTTAATAGTCTGCAGCTTATTTGTAAAATTATGGTTCCTTAATTTAATGAAGGACTCTATTTTTGCAACACATTTACTTCTAATTTGAATTAAATTATAATTCTTTAACTTTTTTTATTTTAGTTTCTTTTTGTCTTTACAAATTTTATAATAAAGCATTCTCTTTTTCTTAACTTTTGTTATATGTATTAGTTTCTATTGTTCGGACTGTTGTCCTCAGCATTGCTGCATATTCACAACATTTTGGCCATTGTATGCCACTACTGAACCATGTGAACTCCATAAGATCGTCAAAAAAGTTCACAATGGAGAAAGAAAACAAAAAACTAGCATTCCTGGATGTGCTATCTCAAACAGAGGATAGGTTCAAGACATCTGTATACCAAAAGCCAACATTCACTGGACAATACCTCAATTTCAATCCCACCATCTATACAGTGTAAAGGAAGGGATTGTCTACTGCCTACAACATTTAGCAAAAGTCATAACTGGTGACCCAGAGACATATGAACAAGAAATGGTCGGTATAAGCAATACCCTACAAAATAACAATTACCCTAGGTACAAGACAGCAGCTCCAACAAACTGAGATAAAAGGCTAACAACACTTAAAAAATGGACTCAGTCTGTCTACCCTAGGTGAAGGGATTATTGGAAAAAATACAAAAGATCTGTGGTCCATGTAACATCAGGAAAACCTTCAAAAGTAGTTCAACACTTTGCAGACACCTCTTCTGAGTATGACCTGTCACGTAGAAGAACATGATTGAGGACTGTGTCTACATCATCCCATACAGCTGTGGTAAGAAATATAAAGGAGAAACAGGCCACTCCCTTAAGATAAGACTGCAGGAACAGTGTAAAGCTGAAACACAAGGGGAAATAGAAAAATCAGACATGGCTAATCACATATAGATAGAAAAGGAAACTCACCACCCACTGTGGGATGAGGTTGAACTAATACAGAAATCACTGGAAAGTATGAAAACTTATAGAATCAGCACATATGATAGGCCACAAAAATCTCCTTGGCTGGCCAAGCATAGACATGAATAAAATATAGGGAACTAGTATTATGGAGTACTAGAGAGAAAAACAACAAATTGTAATATGAGCTCTGGTAAAAAATGATTACTGAGACATTAGGTTTATAAGTCCCCAAAATTTATATACTGATGTCCTCAAGAACACATGGCCCAGTGAATAAAAGCATTGGTTAAATCCAGTGACTTAACCCAAACAGTTGTGAGTTCTGTACCTGAGTTGAGAGTTTAAGTTTAAGGGAGATAACTGATACTGAGATATCTGGAGGAGGCATGGCAAGTGGAACTAAAACAATCTACCCCAATGGGTGAAATAAGGGTTCAGTTTGAAATTCCAATCATTAGAAGGCGGCCAGAGCATACAATGGCTGAAACATCATGAATATGGCAACAAAGATTAGTCCCAACATTGTAAATAATTACAATACCTCATCTCAGAAATATAGACAGGTATTAGTTTCCATTTTATAATTTTCTATCTCTTGCATAGTTTCTTTTTTAATTATTAATCATTTTAGATCTTTGAGTTTTGAAAACAATTATTTTTTATAATTCTAAATTTTCAAATGCTATAGATTTGTCTTGTTTTGGTGGAATTTTCATGATTTTAAATCTGATTATTCTGAATTTGAATCTGAAATTATTTTCTATATAATAGCACATCAATAGTAAATAAATGTGTTTGTGGAAATATTTAAAATTTAAATTTGTGTGAATATTATTCTAAAAATAGGATAAATATTTTTTATATTGGAAATATGAGACCTTATTATTGAATATAATTTTTTTTTTTCAAACTATTATCTTCATTTTCATTACCCTAGCATTTTGGCCAATGCATTCTTCTGCCTTTATCACATGTATATTGGATTTAGTTGTTTGCTTTAGTGTTCATTCTATACTAAAGACTGCCAGACACCACACTCATCAGAGAAAGAAAAAGAAATATCAGTCCAAATGTTAAGAACAAAAATTATGAAAGGTTTAGAAAATATGCAAAATAATGAACGCATTTAATTTCAGAACTTTAGGAGATATTTTTGTCATTTCTACTAGCATTTACACAATTTGATTTTTTTTTTTTTCTGTTAATTTCGTATTTTCCTTAATTTTTATTTCTTTTTATAGGCTGATCTGAATTCCCAGAGGGAAATCTGGATGCAGACTGGACGAACTCTTAAACTGAAGATCAAACTTTACTCACTCCGACTATTGATCAATATTGTTGTCATTTGTTTACTAGGCGGCTGTTTTACTCTTATTTATTTTAGCAGTATTAATCTACTCGAAGTAAGTTTTGCATTTCCTAGCTTTTAAGAATCTATTGAAAAATTAGTATACTTCCATAAAATGGAGGAAAACATTGTCTGATTTTTCAATTTCAAAATTGTTTTGTAATACAAAATTTTAAACATTTTTTTTTTTCAATATTTAATTTAAAAAGAAATCCTGCTTTCTTTTTTAAATTTTATTTTGCTTACATGTCAAAGGAAAATTCACATTTTTTTTATTTTAGGTATTGTAAATTCTAGATTAGGAAGATTCTTAAAATTCTGAAGCTAATTTTCTGGTTTTATGCTAAAGAATTCTATGTTGCTTGAAGTTAGTTTTTATATTTTACTTGCATCCTCATCTTTATTTGCTTTTGAACATCTGTAATTAAAATCAACCAAAATACTGTAAATAATATATTGTCTGAACATTAAACATTAATATTATGACAGTTCTTGTAAGTAATATTATAATGAGTAATGATAATGTATTATTTCAGTGTATTAGACAAGAGCATAAAAAAGCAAATCATCAATGTTGATGAATAATCATCTGCATGATGAACTCTTATAAATATTTCTTGACTCTTGAAAAATTTCTATTTGAATTTCTGGAATAAGGAGTGATTATTATATACACTCGGTTGACCTCATCTTTGTTGTTATTCCCACAATGTTTTGGCCACTGTATTCTCTGGTCGTCATCAGATGTTTGTCAATCCAGGTAACTTTTAAAGAATTTCAAGGTAAACATTTTATTCTATAAGAGTACATTGTTTGCATTTCTAGTGGATTAAAAGTATTGGTTCATTAATTTGGTGGCATAGTAATTGTAAGTTCAGTTCTTGGGCTGCCTAGTGCAGATTTAGAAACAGAGGAAACAGAGTGAGCAATAACTGAGTAGTACTAAAGAAAAGATATTTGTAGACATGGACAGCCGAATGAGAACAATTCCATCCCCAACCCTGTAGATTAAATAAAAGGTTTACTTCAAAATTCCCTGAAGGGTAGCCAGATCAATAAGTGCCAGATGAAGGCTGGAAGACAAAACAGCCAAAAAGTGATAACAACAAAGATATGGACAATCGTAAGTGTAAATAATGATTTGCAGAAATTTCAGATTAAAATTGTATTCATGTAAAATCCAGTATTGAACAAATCTTGATTTTAAAATATGCCAATTTGTACATTTTTTAATATGCAATATCTTATGAAAACTTTTCTGTTAATTTTTGATTATTTAATATCACACTCATAAGATAAGTTATTTACAAAGGGGTCACTTTTATTACTGATTTTTGTTATTTTATGATTGGATGAGTGAAAACATTGATTTAAGTGTCTTGTGTTTTTTTTTTCATCCACATCTAATACATAAATCTGTTGATTAATAGATTGATTTCTACTGAAATGTCCAGAAGAATAACTATTTTCTAACAAAATAGTAATAATGTTTTATAATTCAGATTAATGTCTTTATTTTTGGAGGATTTGTTAGAGAAAATGCTCTAATTTTCAACTCCATTTATTCAACATTCTAAAGTAAATCTCTGATCTACACAAGATTGGTATATAATGTGATGGGAATAATTCTAAGTTATTCTCCAAGTCTAGCTTTTAAATTTCAAATACTGATCACAAAACATGACCTAGTTAATTGCATTTGAAAAAATGGAATCAGATTTTAAAATTGATTTTTAAATTTATCTCAGGAAAATTTGTGTTGATTGATCACAGATCTGGCAAAGATCAATTTGTCATTAGCTAATGCAGTGTTGGTTTGATCCCAGCAAAGCTATGTTACAAAGGAAATTAAACAAAAATGTTGTTGCAGACAAATAAAGAAAAGACAAGAATTTCTTCAGGGTTTGTTTCTTTGTAATTTTATATTGTTCTTTTTACAGAAATATTAACTCTTCCCACTTTGAATTCTATCATAGCACTTTGCTTAATTTAGCTAAGTCTGGAACAAAGCTTGAGTCGGAGGTTCTCTCTGGCAGTAAGTCACATGGGATTCGGCAGAGCAGTCACCTCTTGTCTGTTGTCTGGAACTAGTCTCTTCAGAACTTCTGGCCTGGTTGCTTCAGTATTCTGCTTATATTGGCTTCCACCCAAAATTGGTATGGGGGTTGACATAGTTAGGGGTCTTGGTGTTTCCCCTATCTTATGACAAGGGCCTCTGTTTTCTGGCTCTGGATAATTAATTATCCCTGCTTTTCCGATGTGTAGTGGTCACAGGATATCAATCTGCCCAATTCCTTCCTTCTCTTATTTGTGCCTCACATTAATACTTCCCAATAGGTGTAGGCAATTCCTCAGTCCTCCCTGGTATTTCACCTGTGCCTGTCACCTTGTCGTCTTTCAACCAACCTGGTTCTCAACTGCATGGTGTGGCTTAGTTCATAGTCATTAGTCAAAATTATCTTTTCAAATTCTACCTTCTTCTTTTGTTTAGTTTCCAAAATAAATAAGTTTCCTGATCCTGCTCTGTCCTTAAAAATTGCCAAATTTCTATCGCTCAATTTTCGTAACTGGCATTCTTTACGCAGTGTTATCAATCAGCTGTCAGCCAGCATCACCACATGACCTCTTTGGTGATTTCTTGTAACAGAATCACTTTTCTTTGAAGTATCTATGCCCAAAAAAGAAGTAGGCTTTAGAAATAAAAAGAAATCTCTTTTCCTTCTAACAGTCTGTTCTATTCTTTAAACCTGCTCATCATGTTCCAAACTATATTTTAGTTTTCAGCCCTTTCTTTCTATTTGCCAGTGTCACAATTTCATTCAAAGTGAACACTGCATGCACCACACATACTGTATTTTCTTCATGCTTTAAAGATGCCAATAGGAATAAGACTCACTAAAGAAAGAAAAACTGAACTTATTTTGAATAAACCTAATAATACTGTTTTACAAAAACTGAACCAATCTAGATTTGCTATATAACAATGTTTGGATGAATTTCAATTGTAAGGTGTTAAGTTACAATGCAAATTAACATTGCAGGCTGTCATCATCTTTGAGAGATATCAAAAATATGTGCTCTTGGGGCATCTAAAATTAATAAAAATAAATTAAACATCTGAAAATACTGGGCATTTCCATTATTACAGTTCTGACATTTTCAAATGATGGAAATTCCTGCTGCAGTTAATGGTTTAATATCACTACAAGAAAACTTAGAAATGACAAATCAAAAGAAAAATTTTGTAATTCTCAATAGCTGTTCTATTCATGTCATACATTAATTTTCATCATTGTAATGTGTAACTTTAAAAAATTTGCATATATCTATGGACTGAGTGTAATTTGCTAAAATTTATTCTAAAATTGAATTTCTTGTTTTATCAAATAAAATACATGTCATAATATTCAATTCATGAATGAATTTTAAACTTATAAAGGTGTAAGATAGTAAGAAAAATTTTCTAGGATGCACAGTGGACAAGCTTTCTTAGCAGCAGATGTGGTAATTGATTTAATGTAACCATTCCACTTCATGTCAGTGGAAAATATTAGCCCAAGAAAGTGCAATGAGTCACTCTCTTGGATGTTAGCATCAGCCAGGCTGAGGGAAGGCAAAAAAAGATTCTCTCGGGTTTTGTAGGCATTAAAATTAACAAAACAATTCTTTCCCCAGCTGACAACAGGTTCAAGGTGATTATTTTAGATCAGCTGTCAATTGACCATATCAAACTAACCATTAATATAAGAGTAAATAATGAAGTTAAATCACAGTCCAGGATGGGGGGGGTGTCACCGGCCAAAATCTGGGGATGTAAATGCACAGGTTGCATAATGAATCAACAGGGTTCAACTCTTGCAGCAAAACTTTACTATACGAGTTCACTCTCACAACTGACTGTTCAATCCACTATTTATTACTATTTCCAATCACACATGCAAATGACCACTAGTATTAAAAAATAGTAGTGTCATGCATGCATAGTGGGGCAATTGCAAATGGACACTTCTCATAACCACACATGACATTGTCGATCCCTTGCGATGTTGGCCATGTTGGATTTGCATGCCAAACAGGTACATGCCTACTTTGCCTGGCAAGATTAGTGTATTCTCTCACTACAAATAGATAACTAGTCAAGAACTGATGACTTCGGGAAGGTTGTTGATGAAAATTAGGAATAACATCAGTCAACTAAAAGCATAGCCATTCAAGGCAACTTTCATTTTGTAATTTGATAAGACAGATTTGTCCAGAAATACCATAACCCATCAACTTGTGAAGATGAGCATGAGAAACCCTGTCAAATGTCTTTGAATTATCTAAAATCATAGGAAAGAAAACATTTATTTTATCTTTATAATTTTGTGACAGTCATTGTGTAGCAATAAATATGATTAATTATCTACGTCAATAAGGGATGGATCATAACATTAAGGTTTATATTTAAGTGATTCAGTGAAAGGTTGTAACTTTAGGATTTAGATTTAAACCAATTTTATTTGTTATTACTTTTGTATTTTATTAATTTATTATTTGCTACTATTAATTATTATTAAATTTTGTGGGTATGTGTTAATTTGGAGTATTTGTATTATTTTTCATTTATGCATTTTATTTTTTTTGTTAGCTTTTTTGTTTTGTTTGAAGTATATTGTGTGTGGTATTGTTGACTATATTTTATTTAGTTTATATTTTTTGTTAATATTTTACAAGATATTAAATCTTTTTTATTTTCAAATTTTAATTTACATAAAGAACAGTATTTACATTAGTCGGACTATTGTCCTCATCTTTGTCGCCATATTTGTCACAACGTTTCAGCCGTTGTACGCTCCGGCTGGAATTTCAAACTGAACCCTTTATTTCGATCACTGGGGTAGACTGTTCTAATTCCACGTGCCATGTTTTTTGATGGATGTCAGTTATCAGTTATCTCCTGCTAATTTTCCCTCTGAAAGTTCTCCACTGCCTTAACCAGGAATTGAACTCACCTTCTTTGGGTCTGTCACTGGATCTAACCAACGCTTTTTATCCA